CTCAGGCAGGAGCCCTGCCTCCACCTCAAGAGTCCAAAAACTCTGCCTCTCTTGCATGCCTCTCTGGCAAGCGCCTTTTTTCTGGAGCCATCTCAGAAGCTTTGGATACCTCCTTGCTCTGCAGGTGCTGGCATGGCCCTGTCCCACCTCCTCAAGGGAGGCGGCTGCTTTTCCCTCCTCGCCCTGAAGGCTGACCCTGCGAAATGCCAAGCGCCTCTTCAGCTGCTCTCTGAGCGGCAGCAGCCACCCTGGCCCCGCTGGTGAGATGGGCAGCCCACAGAAACTTCTGGAAGCTACTTCTTGGGGAGCTGGCTCCTATGGCTGTGAGCTCCAGAGCTGCTGGCAGAGCTGAGGTGAGCACCCCACGAGGGCTGAGGAGCCATATTGGTGCTGGGGGTGGGGGAGGCTGGGAAAGCAAATGTCCATTGAGACAATATGAGGATTTGGGGAGCAGCATTTGTGTAGTAGCATTTTTACAATCTTTGATGGATCTGTTCTGAAGATCTGCTGCAGTAGGAGGTAATTATACCCTTGTAGGGAGACAGTGCTCAAAAATCAAAAGATGCAAGGCCAACATAAAAAAAAAAAAAACAAACCCAAACTCTTTTCAGTAAAGTTTTTTAAGCATGTGACTTGTGTATTTATCAACTGTTGGGACTTGCAAATATGACTACGCAGCTCTATTATGTGGATTTAAGATGCTAGAAAATACCTGATTTTCCTTTTTGTTTATCTTTCCATGAACAAATATAGAAATAACATGTTCACAATAGAGTGAATTTGGCACCATCTGCTCCTGACTTGAACTTTCTTCTAACTTTTGCATTCAGTTTATGAAATAATTGGTCCAAGCATATAATTTTCAGAGAAGTTACAGTACCATAGCTGAGAATAAAAATTGGGTCATAAGGCAGCAGCATCAAAGGAACGGTTTTGTCTACTGTAACCTCGAGTCTTTTACTTCAGCTTCACAAAGACAATTATCAGCCCATGGTGTGAGAATCACACTTGTGCTACAATTCTAGCTAAAATATCTTTGTCACAGTCTCATTTTCTTTCCAGTGTGGGTTGTGTGTTGTTTTTCTATTGCTTTAATAAGAAGAAAATTATTCTTTTGTAAAAGCACCAATTGAAAGAGAACAAGGAGTAAATAAGAGTGGCTACAGATAAATTATAGGCAAATTATCTGTAATGAGACTGTTAAATACCTGTAGTGGCAATTAATATTATTTCTGGTCTGTTTTGGCTTTTTAGATTAGTAAATTTGTGTGTGCATGTGCTTGTTTATGCATTCTGTCTCCTGGCCTTGAACATACTAGCAGTGCAGTAATTTAATCCTATTTATTTGGTGCATATATGCAGTATTAGGAAAAAAAACAGGTATAAAGATTCCTTTATTCTGTTTCCTATGTAACTTTCTCTTGTGAATGTGGAGCTGAAACAGAAATTTCATAATGTCCTTTCATATACTAAATAAACTAGAACTCTTTTTAGAAATAACACAAGGACAATTTTGCGTTGCTTAGCTAGCAGGAAAATATTCAGAGAGGTTGATGTGTTTCTATAATACCTTTATCTGTTAGTATTTTAAAAGGGAACACTGTCAGAATGACCCATTATGCAGGGCATACACCACAGTGAGCATTACCGTGCCTCCAAAACATTAATTAAAATTGACTGTGTTTATTTGTTATAGAAGTGTTCTGACAAAGCTGAGATTAAAACGCTGAGCTCTTTAAAGAGGAAAAAACATAATTAAATAACAGTTATGTGCTGAAAATGGTAATTTTTATGGCCACCGCTATTAATTTAGTATCATTTTATGAGCAGCAAAGCATCCTACTGCTTGATGAATGTATATGACCCGCTTTACAAAGCCTTGTGCTTTCTCATCAACGAATGAGACCGCGGTTCTTGCTTGGCCTTATCTGAGAAGAGGCTGAATGCCCCCAGGAAATTCAGCACTGAGGGCCGAACGCATACTCGGCAATCGCGCCAGTATTAATTTACATGCCTGAAGTTCAAGTATTAATTCATGTCTTGTCTTCCTCCGAAGGCCAGTATTTAATGTGACTGAAAAAGAGCTATTTAGGTGGGAAATAATGTGAAAGCGCATTTCCTTACTCATTAGATACTTCCTTCCAGCTCAGGGTATATACTCACAGGACTGCTACATAAACAGCTTTAACAGCAAATTAACCCTGCAGTCATGAGGCTTAGTATCAATTTGCAGTGTTGCAAAATTCTTATTTTGTTGTTTTTAGAGGGTCTCCTTATTAAATCTCTGCATCTTTCTAAAAAAATGAGAAAAAAATTAATAATTCAATTGAAGAAAGCTTATAAGGAACAACAGCTGCATATTAAACAGAACAACAGCTAGCACAAAGATACTTTCAGTTAAGAACCTTGCAACTTGTTACGCTGTTTTTCAAACAGAAATAACTTGAGACAGTGAAAAATATAGCGAAGTTTTCCCAATGGCTCAATTGTTAGGAAGAGGAAAACATGTCCCCACTTTTGTTGTGAAGGCATAAGATTCTGTGCGAACACTGTCATTTTTTCTGTATGCTGTCATCTTTTACTCTGCTTATGTATATTTTTGGGAAAAAAATTGTGTTAACCAGTGACAGCCTGATTCATGGTAACTCGCTATTCAGATTAGTCGTGTTGTCTTCCAATTTTCATATATGACATGAAGATAAGGCGTTAAAGCCTAGAAAATGGCCAGAGGAAGGATGAGTATGCTATGACCTGTAGGAGAATGTAGAACAACCACCAGCAGCTCTTCAATGTTAGCATGCTTTTGTATTATGCTAGTATTGCTAAGTACAGTACATCTTTGCTTTAAAGCTCATTCATTAACTTCATAAAAAGAAAAAGTTGCAGATTCAGAAATTAAGCACACTGTATCAGTGAGATTATTCTTGGAAACGGAATCCTTTGTGTGTCCCTTTATGCTTTTCTGACACAAACCGCAAGCAGGTATCTGGAACCAGGGTATTAGATGGAGTATAAAAATTAAATGTAGTTCTGCATATTGCTTTTCTCTAGCCAAGGCTGGATTAAAAGGTCTATGCACTCCCTTAGCACAGTTTTCCCTTCCATTATGTTGATTCAGCTGCCTGTGAAACTGTGTAAGGAGATCTTCTGGTAAATAACTTTCTGGCAGCACCGCTGACTTAGGTAGTCACCCTTCCCCATTTAATTATTGAATGCAGAAATGCTTCATGGAAAGCACTTCAAGGGAGAAACGACAACTGCCCAAGCAGCACTTCCAAATGCTTAACTGCAGTCCGCCTTAGATCAGTGTAAGATCTCAGTTTAAGAGATCGACTCTTACACTTGCTCTCCCTCGTGCCCCAAGCCCCCCCAGACTATGCAGACCGCAAGCCTAGGCATGTGATTCAAATGTACCAGTCTGGCCTAGAGCACAACACCACAAGCAGATGAATTAATGATGCCAGAGGGAGCTGGGACTGCTGCTGGGAGCGAGCAGTGACAGGAGCAAGCAGTGTGAGCAGTTCATGAACTGGCTTTGCTGCCAGAAATACTAATAAAGCAGAGGTGCCATGCAGACAGGCTGGGATGTCTCTATTTTAAACTTGCCAAATCTCACGAGCTTGTTGTATACCAAAATACCATGAATATTTACATAAAAGGCCAGCAACAGGACTTACATGACAGTCCCACCATTCATTTAAAAATGTTTCAATTTCTAGACCTTACTTTCATAATGAGTATCATCCATGTATCATGGAAACGTGCTTGCAGGGGAAACCTAGCTGCACAACGGAGCCTCAGAAGTCTGAACCGAAATCAAAATAGCCCCAGTCAAGCTATCCTTATATTCAGGCTATGATTTTGGAGGACTTGATCTGTTTGGCAATTCTATCAATGCTACTTGGATTATTTATACAAATAAAAATAAGCCTTAGCTTCAGAATATGGCATTTGAAGGCTTCTCAGTAGCACCTCATCTGTTGTTCACAAATTATTTTAGTCTGAGTGAAACCGTATGGGAATGATGCTGTTATTTAACAACAAAAATCCCTCAACATGTTTTTTTTGGTTTGTTCCCCCCCCTGATTTTAATCAAAAAACAACCTGGAGCACATATTGGCAGAGCAATGCGATGTCCTGGGACATCACTGAGTTTTCATCCCTCTTAAAGCAAATGTGGCGTTCATTTCAAGGAAAGTCAGAGAAAGCAGCTTTCATAAGCTTCTACAGTCAGCACTTGGACTGACTGGGATTTTAATTATCAGCACTGCTCACCCTATGCCTATCTGATTGTAGAAGGAGCTGTAATACAGGTACTGTAGAATAATTTAGGTTGGAAGGAACATCATCTGGTAAAACCCTCTACTCAAAGCAGGGCTAAATTCAAAGTTAGATTGAGTCATTCAAGGTCTGACATACCTTGGACAAATAAAGAGTTTGTGGGTTTGGGGTTTTGTTTTTTCTTTCTTTTGTACACACAAGAAGCTAGTGCCTGCAGCTGATAATATTTTACCTGTAAATGTAGGTGGAGATAATATCTTCAGTGTCAGCTGAAAAGCTGGTCATATTTACATTGAGCTTAAACTATTATCAGCTTTGGTTCATCAGCAAGAATATGACATGGATTCTGCAGAGGAAATTGGTTACATTGGCTAAGTTTTAAACGCTACATGTAAGAGCAAGCAGGGAGTTTGTCTCTGATCCAAAGTGCAGAAAGATTCCTGAAAACTTTCTGCTTTGGTTTCAGCCTCAGTCAAAGCCAAATGTGGCTATGTCTTATGAAACTCCTGTGGAGGAGAGGGAGGGATAATGTTCCCAGTAACTTTGTTATGTATGACAATTTTCTGGATATGATACAGGGTATTGCATTAGTTAAGAATGATAAAATCATACGTTGGTCATTGTGGTTAAGATTTTACTTTTCATGCTGCTCTGATGAAAAAGGTTATTTTGGTTTTGGTTTTTTTTTTTTTAAGTGACTGGCAGTTATTATGTAAGTTTCAAATATGAAAACACCCCCCAAATTTATCTTTGCATCTGCTTAATTTTTTGTTTTTTCTCTTGAATTTTACTTTACAGACCAAATTTAATTTGGTTTTGCCTCTTTTATTACCCTGTTATCTCCTATATTTTTGACTTGCTGGTTCTAAGTCTCTGCTTTGCTGTCTGGATAAAACATTGGCATTGTTGCGTAATTAATCCAAGTTGACTGTTATTCCAATTAATTCCTACATTAGCTCTAATGTAAATCTTTGTTAATTAGATTTTTTTTTTATTTCCCTTTTTGGACAATTTTCAAGATAAATTAGTGGGGGAGGGAATTCTCTGCTTTTTTTCCCTTTGTCTCATAAACAATACCTCAATTTGTCAGCTATGGCAGATGGTGTATTTATTTCAATTAGTTTGTAAACTACTACAAATAAACATCTTTAGAACTCTAGTTTTAAAACATCTTTATAAGCATCTTATTATTCCTTATGAATACATCTGTGTAACGAATAAACATTCCTAACAACACCTGAGACCAAGACAGTTTTTTCCATTCAAATATTTACAGTAGGATGCTCCAACCCATCTTGTCTGCTTTCTTTCTAGTCAAGGTATCATGGGCTGAACATTTCACTCATTGGCCACAATTTCACTACTTAGCCACTGAGAATTTGTGGTGCTTTTTCCTTTTTTTTCTTTCTTCCTCTACTCCCCTCTCCCCTCCCATCCTCCAAGCTTGACAGTTTTTTCAAAGTTTTCTTTTGTTGTTGTATGATTCACAGTGATTGCAATTCTGCTCTTGACTGACGTAAGACAATTTTACTGCCTAGGCAAATGGTATGCATTTGGCTAGCATGTATAATGTTAAACCTGGAGTTGGGTCAGTCAACAAGTGATTCAGGCAGATTTACCTGACTGAAAAGGCTGTAAGTAAAAAAAAAAAAAAAAAAATAAAAAAAAAAAAATCTTGTGGTCCTCCAACCTAGCATGAGCATGTAATCTGTCTCTGAGAAACACCGTTTACCTTCATTACCTAGGTGGAGTAAAATGAAGATTTTTGCAGCCGAATGAGCAACTGTGAAGATCACGTTAGCCACCAAGAAAAAAAAAAAATCCAGAAAAAAATATACCCTCACTCTTAACATCAGACTTCAAGAAGCCTTTTCAGGGGTGACAAAGGGGATATTTTGGGGAAAAAGTATAAATTGTTCTACATAACTTGTTGACAAGTTACCCTTGTTTGGACTTTGTCAAACTTTTCAGTATAACATTCTCAACAAAGAAAACTTTTTTGATTAAGCAGAATTTTCCTCTGTTCCTAGAAAGTCTGAAATGGATTTAAGAGCAGGAATAAATAGGGAAAAGGTGTGTTTTCATTTTTAAACTGGAAGATTACAAGTAGATGGCCTATAAAGTATTATAAAAGAAAATTAAAATCCACTCTTTGAAAAAGAAAAAGCAGTCCAGAGGTCAATAGAAAATATGCCTTACCATTGGCAATTTCAGAAGCAAAATTCCTTGAGCATCTTCACTTTTTTTAAAAAAAAAATAAATCTGTGTTTGTACAAACCCAAACATAATTTTCCAGTAAGATATGTGAGGCAGAGAGAATGAAAATTTGTCACTGTAGTGAACAGCAGGAAGACGTACTTCAGTAAGCATGGAATTAGAATTTGTTTAGAGACTGAAAATTAAGTGTTATGCATCTTTCCCTTAAGAAAAGTCACCAATGAACTCTTCAGTAACCTAATTTTACTTTTTCAAACGCGTAATATCCACCAGAGGTTTGCAATAAATTGACTCAACTTGTATTGTATGTCCCTCAAACATCACCGGACTTGCTCTCATAAGTCATTATCTTCCTTGTACTAGGGAGTGCAGAACGGGGCACAATACTCCAGATGCAGTCTCGCCAGTGCTGAATAGGGAGGAAGGATCACCTCCTTCAATCTGTGGGTATTGGAATGGTTTTTTGATGCCTCCTGAATGAAACTTTCATTCATTTATGACTAACTTCAGAAGTTGTCTTTTCTTTTTTTTTCCTTAGGGAAAAGACTGTATAAAGTGACGTGCTTTTATGTAAAATTACCCATGTTTGGGTATCTATCCTTAGGTCTTTGGAAATGTGTTGTTCCCACTCTGTATTTTTAAGCACCTCTGAAAAATTCTGCTTGATACAAAAGCAGTTACTCTTTCCAAGTAACTAGTACCAAGCTTTAAGCTGAAACTTGTAAATCTTCCGCTTAGAATTTGTTTTAAAAGCCTGTTCAGAGTTTATGCTGATCACATTAGTCATATTTATATAATAATGGGCATTAACATGATGCTTTTCCTCTGTGGACTTCCAGAAAGCAAATATAAAGTAAACCTTGCACCTCAGTGCGTGCTGACTAGCATGCATAGCGTGGTGACTAGCCCATTGACTTTTTAACAGCATGTTGAGCACGTGCAGAATTGAAACCTGTGTTTACAAAAGTTGTTTCACAAATGAAGAGGTGAACAGACCTGAATTTTTTTTTTTTTTTTTTTTCCACCTAAACCTTAAAATTCTGAGTTGTAAATCCAATCTAGTAGCATTTTAACTAACGCTGGTGAGGCAGCTTTGCTGTGAAAGATCACACGGCCCTACTGTAACTGCACAAGAACTAAGGGAATTTTGAATATGTTCACACTTAAACATACCTCCTACTCTGAGCTTTACACAATTGTTGTTAGCATGGTCAGACCCAAGTTAATAACATGATATTAAATCCTAACTCCCTTTCAAAAGACTAAACCACCATTGTAGCATAAATACTCTTAACCAAAATGTTCTGCTAAACTTTAAAAGAAATCATATAATCAAAACTAAATAGCACGGGGTTTTTCAAATGTAGCAGTCAAATTAGGAATCCTACTCACCAACTATAAAAATTATGTTCAATTTCCTCAGATCTTCTGAGAAGTCTAAAATGAAAATAAAAATTCTTTAGTTGGCAAGAGCTACTAATTTTAATCTTGCCTGCTTTCCACACTGAATTGTGTAACACTCATGCAAGGTGATCTGATCTTACTAGATTTATGTTCTGCTATAATGCTCTGCATTCCAAAAGGAGCTGTTATCCACAAGTCTATTTATCTTCCAGTTTCACAGCTCTCTGCAGATATGACAAAAATATTTTACCTGAAAATTAGACCTTGCACATACGAAAAAAAAAAGGGGGGGGGGGGGGGGGGAAAAAAGAGAAGCAGATGCACCTTGATGTAATAATGTACCCCCCGAGTCACTTCACTTTTCTCTGAATATGTTATTTATATTATAATTGCTGTAGAAGTTTGTCCACATTCAGATTTTGTATTTGGTGCACTGTATCTGAGATGTAGCCTTAAATTCCCTTGAGGTTCAAATTCAGCCAAATAATAACAAATTTAAATGAAATCTAGGCATTATTCTCATTTTAGCACCAAAACTAATTTATGTACTGCAGCTTTACCTTTTACTGAAATTGTATTATTTTTAAAAAAGCATTTCCTTCTAGTCAGAGTCCCAGCCATTGGTCTCATTATACCAGTACAGAAGGTGATCTTGCACCATCTGAGCCTGCTGGATTTTTATTATATGTTGACTTAATCACTTAGAAGACCCATTATTTACCACATACAATTTTGGGGGTTTTTTATGTGGCGTGTACATCTCTTATTACATGGTATCATTAGATGTAAAAGGTTTTGATTAATCCTTTTATTCCTCTTAGGCTCTTAGCAGCTCTTACTTTCCAACAAGCTTTTCATAACTGCCAATTTCTGAAAACACCTATGAGATCTGATGCTGATTAACAATAATATTTTCAAATAATTTTGGATCCCCTGGCCTAGAGAGTGTAGAAATGTCTTTTACAAGCTTTAATTTGCATTCAAAGGGAATTCATGTGGTAAAATTCTTGAGACATAACTTTCACAATATAAGTAACCTGATTTCACTTTACCTTCTAACTATTTAAATACAAGGGGAAATCAAAGGTTTCAAAATTAAATGGCAAATGATACTGAAAGAGAAACTCACCTCCTGTGCTCTCATAGCCAGAAAAACTTGACTGATCTTCTTCCTGTGAATTGAGCAATTGACAAATTGAAATGGATATTCTGCATAGTTTGCATTTCTTCTTCTATCTGCTTATACGTACATCTTAGTATCTTCTCCATATTCTAACATCTCAGTTTTAACCTATGTTGAGATATGGTTAACAGTGTCACAGAAGTACTGTTTCAGCTGGTAGAACATGAGCGTGGAGAACCCAAGACAATCTGAGATGATCAACTGGCCCATATAGGTTTTGTGAGGAACAGCTTCTTCAGTGTCCAGCTGCACAGTTCCAGCACTATACATAAGCAACCAGTGTGCATGCTGAATTGCTTCCATAGTAATTACGGTATGATAAGCTGTTAGTAGTGGAAAGGCAATGCTGGAGTAAGTTCTAGAAGTGAGCTATGACATAAAGATGAAATTAGTCTTTGGTCTAAAACAACTCAAATGTGTTTACCTTCAGAACGCAACACATGCTACAAGTTGTTACAGAGGATGCTGAACTACAAAGAGGGATCACACCAGGGAAATGGGGAATTTGGCATGGGGTTTTTTTTTCCTCATACTTGGCCACTTAGAATTATTTTGTCGCATACAGTATAGTACAAGCAATGAGGAATTACAAATACTGGCCAGCAAGAGTGTTGGAGTGGGAATTCTTTGCTGTTCTTATAAATCAGAATTATATGTGTGCTCGACATAGTCTAGGTTATGTAGTGCCAATATACTCACACCATCGGTGCTTAAATCTAGTCTATGAAATATCAATAATAGCATTGACAGTAACGTATTGCACTGACATGCTCGTATTACGTCATCAGTGCGTAATATCAGCATGGAATACATTATGCTAGTCCTCTCAAAATAGCAAAGGGTTACCAAGCTGTAGTTTCTTACAGTTCTGCTTCAGTACGCTGTCAGAAATAGCCGCTGGTAGAAATTTGTAGAGCTGTATGAATAGATAAAGTGAAGCGAACACGGTGGTGAACAGAAGGGGTAAACTAGTGGCTGCTGTAATTTGCAAGGCTCTTGCGCTACCCTTGTGGGTTTCTCCTTGTGTTCCCATTATCACTGAAACAGAAGTACTCTTAATCAGGCTGAAGTACCATTACACTGGCTACGTAGAACACTTTCATTTTTTGATTCACAGTAATTCTCAGCCTACTAAACTGCAGCAGCAGAACTGCCATCTTAAAAAACCTTTCCAAATAAGAGATAAATCTCTTTCCTACAATTCAAGTGACAGTATTAACCTTACATGCTTTTCCTTTGATGTAATAATACAATAAAATATTTGACCCTGCAAAGGATGTATTACGTATGAAAGGCCTGGGTTTAGATTCAGTTTCTTATTGTGCCTTTGAAGGTTTATGGATCAAAATCACTTTACATGCAAAGCTTAGAGTAAAGTTTTTTTTAAAATCAAGATCACAGTTGCAAGTTTACGATCAAATGAAAGACTCATTCCTTCCTTCAAGTACTGCTTTGTTCTCCCCTACAGCTGCAGAATGAAACTGCCCCCATAACGCTGGTGGGCTGCCCAGAGCAGCAGGTGATAATAAAGGGTGGTTTAAGTCAAGAATAGCTCTGCTCTAGTTTTGTGGAGCTGAAATATGTAAAAACTAGAGACAAAAGTGAAGCTAAATAAGCTATCAGCTACTTTTATTTGACCAACCACATCTGCTTTAATAGAACGGGTTAACTAACCAACAAGCCATGTTCACATAAGGAAAAAATGCTATGAAAAACCATTAAAGTGATTTCTAATTACAACTCAAAAAAGAGATCAGTAAACAGGAAGTGTGACATTGATCAGAACCCAGAACATCAAAATAATGAATTCTGTTTATATCTGTAACTGCTCACTCTTCAGGTGCAGAAATACTGTTTTCAAAAGTATGCTTTTTTTCTCTTCATTTTTTTTTTCAAAGGGCATCTGTTCCATAATTCTGTAAGACAAC